AATTTGTATAAAATACAGTATGAAATAGCTACTGTGTAGTAAAAAGCGTCTTGAATAAAGGTCAAAGTGTGAAAATTGTTTGAATAATATTATGAATTCACGAGTAGGTAGTGTTAATAATGTCTGTCAAATAATAAGTTGGCAAACTGAAATAATTATGAAATTTTTAAGAGTTAATTGATGTTACTCAATTTTAGCTCTTGAAATCTTTAGTTGAAACAGAATTATTCCTGACTATCCAACATCATTATGTCAATATTACGTATGTATAATAAGTCTAAAGATTATATCTATATAGCATACTCATAAAACCCAACAACTGCCTTAGATCACTATTACTATCATCAAGATTTCTTTATTCTTCCTCTTCAGAAAATATATCTTTATTATTTAATAAAACTGAATGATTAACTGTTCACCGCTGAAGATTTCCTCGTTATTACAATCTTCTAGCTTGTTAGTCGGTCGGACGACACCCTGTAGAGTGCAGCATTACCTGTTCATCTCAAGAGTCATTTACAGTCCGAGATATAAAGTAAGTGAAATAAATGAATGTCCGTTGTTTTAAGGCATGTACTAATAAGCAGATATCAATATTTCATAGGAGTGGCTGAGATCCCAGATGACGGGGATTTTAGAAATATAGCAACTTTCTGTGGTCTTTGGCTATAGATACACTTTTGTGACATTCTTATTGTTGACAATCATTCCTACGAGTGTAAATGATTTTTACAGATTTACGAAAAAACTAAAGAAGTTTCTAGCTGATAACTTTCGAGACTGAAGTGGCTATTTTGAAATTATATATTCAACCATTTTTCTGAAACTTTCATCTCTACCATTATATCGTGACTACTGCCATATCTCTTTACAATTCTGTTATTGAGGTATGACATTAGTTTTGAAAAAGAGTGGATCAATATCAAAGTTTGAAAGCTAGCCTCTCGGTATTTTCGAATGGGATTTTGTGTTCCCTCGACTAGGCTGGTACCAATGCTTCTTTTCGTGACCCATATAGACTTTACCACAATGGGGAATGTTCCTCAATTTGGGTTATTACAGCAAATGCAAGTTTGAACAAAATAAAGTTGCGTTTGATTCATGAGTTTTTCAAATTCACTTCGAAAAGTATTCAAATTGATGTTTCAAATGTTGGGTATTAATTTTGAAAGGGATTTGTTTCTAATTCACATATTGGCAACAGCGCCTAGAATGCTAGATCGAAGTCCAGGTTAGTAGTATGGTAGAAGAAGAGGAATAATGTCAATAGTGTCAAATTAAAGTAAAATATAAATTATAGTTCAATACCACCTCCACAAGCCACATAAACAACAGTTGTTTTGTAATTTATTTATATAGAGGAAGATAGGTAAGGTGCACAAAATGTCATATGTCACAGAATGTCTCGGAACTCGGAACATAAGTAAACAGAACAGCACGCCTCTGAATCCACAGTAACGGAAATCAATAGAAAAATGTAAAGAATGTGCCATTTTTTCAGTTCAACAAAACATTTCTTTGCTTTGTTAAAAAAATCACTTCTCTTGGGACGTCAGACACCGCCAATTTTTATTCGTTTTTATCCAAGATAGAAACCCGTTCTGGAAGTGGAAACGAAAATAAACGACCTCCCCATGTCGTATTTAATATTTTTAATTGTAGGAATGTTTATATGCATACTTATATCTCATGAAAATTAATTGAAAAAGAATTCTTTAATCACAATTGCGTCTGTTGAAGTTGAAGGTATGAGGCAGTTTCTTCTTCGAACTTTGTCGATTCGTTTTGTGTTTTGTTCTCAGTGCGGTATTCAGGTGTTCGGTTTATGGGTTTGGAAACAATATTAAGTGGATAGTAATAAGTGATTGATTAAGTCACACGCATGAATCAAACATTTTTCAAAAGGCTCTGAAATATTTTTTGCTATCACTTGCCATCCTCTGGAAAGTAACATTTTCCTATTTTCAGTTCATTTGAAACTGATGAATATACTGATCATACACAGGATACATAGATTAAGCAACAAGTTGAAATATTTCAAAGTTATGCTTTTCTGCCAAATCGATTGAGGTTTTTAACAAAAATTTATATCACATTCATTATTTGATTCTAAGTACTGTCGAGGAACCGGAGACATTGAATTTCCACGTACATCTTCCAAACAACAATAAAGAATGTAAATTCTAATGTAAATGTAAATTCTAAAGTATTGCATTTAAAATCTCATTTCTCGATGATTTTATTTACCAATACATCTGAGATTACAAAATGATAGTTCAACGTTGTCAAATATTAGCTGGTTGATTCTTTCAGTGTGTTATTCGGTGGAGAATAATACAATGTTGATACTTTCGTTTTGTACGAAAAATTTATGGATACAGTCGAGGGTATTGAGTGAATGCAATATTGATATATTTTTCTACTTGCATTTCCTATCGAAATTTTTGTCCACACTGCCTTTCATCGTCTGTACAGCAGATCGATATTTTTCAACTTATTTGAGAAACTTAACTGAATGGTTTGCCTTTAATTGCTATTCGTAGACAAATTGATGTTCCTCTAGAAGAAGTGATTGATCAGTTCGCAGACAAAAAAGAACAAGAAAATTGAACATTTCAACTTTATAGAACAAGTTTTGGAAAACATGGAATGCCACAGTTTTTCCAAATGAGTATGATCTATTACGATTCAAAGTCAATTCAAATCCCAATTTTATATATGAACTTTCAAGTGTACAAAATCATATGAAATTGAAGTCCCTTTATTCAACAGTCAGCATGAGGATCTAGTCATTCTTAAAATGTTTCTCAAATTTCAACGCCAAACATATTTCGTTTACGACATACATTTCTTAGCTGTAATCTAATACTTTTTATGCCATCTACCGTCGAGTAGTACATTCAGCAACACTAAGTGGTTGAGTTCTGCCATACGCGATGTATATGAAATACAACAAATATCTCTACTCACTTTCCTCATGAAGTGGAACTCCAGGACTCTTCATTGAGGAAGAATGACGAATATTGTTTGCCAATAGTTGAAATTGAAAAAATTATACCGTTGTTTGAAGAGAACTTCAAACAACGATAATACTTTTTTGCCATCTATCGACGAGTAGTATATTGTACAATTCTATGTAGTAGGGTTCTGCCAAATGCAATTTATATGCAACACAAAATACACAAAATAATTAGAAGTTGGGAAATAATTAGAAGTTGAGGAATTATTAGAAGTTGAGGACTCTTTATAAAAGAAATATGAGAATGAACACAAAGGTTTACAGTCAATTGAAATTGGAAAAAAAATTATTTGGGTGTATAACCTTCCACAATCCAAAAAATAAACAAAAGTATGTGCTGAAGTATAGTAATAACGGGCAAGCTGAAAACTTCACACCAGAAAACCACTATGAAATACAAGGTCTAGATTTTAATTCTTCTCAAAAAATATTTATTTATTCATCAATTTTTATTTTGTCCCCTTCAAAGTAATACCCCTCAGATATAATACAATTGCGCCAGCGTTATTTCCAACCATCGAAACAGTTCTGATATGCACTTCTTGGTATGTCCTTGAGCTTTCTTGGCGATTAGTTTTTCCTCTCCTCAATCGTCACAAAACGCCGTTCTTTCATGGGTCTTTTCAATCTTGGGAAGAGCAAACAGTCACAGTGCGGCAAATCTGGCGAATACGTTGGGCGATGCATGATTACGGTGAGGTTTTTGACAAAAAAATTACGAAGAAGCACTAACGAGTGGGCAAGTGCACTAAAGTGATGCAAAAGCCATGAATTGTTTTTGCACAATGCCGGATGTTTTCTTTCTTCGAATTGTTTCTCGCAATCGGCGTGTAACTTCAAGATAATACTCCTTAATTCCGTTGTGTTTCAAAACTCACCTCATTCCTCTCCATTACTTACAGACAGAAAGTTTTCACAGTACCAAAAATAAATAACTTCAGAACTACATGACAATGTAGGTGAAGATCCGTGTCGAAATTCTCCTGCACGAGCACACGCCACTATGTTACGAAATTCTCTGTAGAAGGTGATGAGGGTACTTCCAAGAAGTTTGGAAAACTTGAATCTTGATCCAAGTCAACCCCTTCATCCTTCCTGGACTCATCAGCGTGTCTGGTAAATCTCGAAGTTATTGATCCATAGCTAAAAAACAAAGCATAATCAATCCAACACCAGATAGCGCTAGTCACCTGCATCACAGTATTGCTAGACTGAAACATGCAATGCTGGATTAAGATATCCAAGTACAATCCTGAGTGAAATATTGCAATGACATCTGCTCTTATGAACACGCCATCTATGAGATCTAACAGAATACTTGAACCACGATTATTGATGATGTCGCATTTATGATTCCATATTAAACAAGGTTCCTTCGACCTGTTATAGAAAATGTCAATAGTACTGACTGGATCATACATTCAGATTTTGAACTTTTCTGTCCCAACCCTAAATAGAAAAAAGCAAATATTCTCATTTAGATAACAGGAGTAGAATTAACAAAAGACTCAGTCTATCAATATTCCATCCTGTAGAATAGTGTAATATTAACGATAAACGTGTTAGGGGTCACAAGTTAAAAGGTAAGACCTTGTTAATCCTCAGCTCACACAAGTTTCGACTTCTGAGGGTTGTCGTCAGTAGGGGTGCGACAGCTGGTTAACGGAAAAACAGAGTTTAAACAGATTTCTCGAGCGCTTGAGAAAGCTATTGTATAGGGAAACACGTGTCGCGGTTTTTGTACTATCCTTTATAGCAAAAATCGTACAATAAACTGTATTAATGAGTTTTAAAATTGATGAAATCTGACCCCTTACGAAGACGACATCTATGGGATCAACAGAAGACTGCGGTTGTTGTGGTATCACCTAGTTATATGTTCATTTGTCGCAAATGATTTGATTTGTGTGAGGAAGAGGGCTTAAGAGAAACTACGAATATGTCTCCAATCGAAAGATAATATTATAAAAAAACACTTTATTGGACTAAACAACAATCTACAAACAAAATCTAAGGCGAGGTTCACACTGAGCCAATATGAGATGAGCGATATGTTGCTTTCGATATATCGCTAAGTAGCTTCCTGTCAGTGAGTGGAAACACAATTCTCCTACTTCAGTTGGGTACTTCGGAGAAGTGTTTTGCAATGGCGCGACTGTAAACCTTTTGTATCGCTCTCTTCAGATCTCAGGTCTGTGGGCATCGTGTGAAAGCCGCCTAAACACATATTCACGCTACAATCAATTAATTGTTCAAGTCTGTGATGCTACCCGGTATCGAGACACGTTCTATTTCCGATTTAATGGCGGCAATGAGTGGCACTGCTGGATCATTTTCTTTGAATTTTCCCTCTGCCAATACCTGGTTCACGTTTACCCTTGGATAGGGGTTAATTATTCCAGCGCTGAGAGGTCTTACGAGAGGGGAAGGAGCGGTGCTGGACCAGGCGCCTTTGGGGCCGCTGGCTTGATGGTCCATTTTTCGCAGGTCAGTAGTTTTGGGTCGCGGTTTTGGAGTTGCCGCTTTCAAGTCATCTGTTGACCTGAAAAACATACATATTTGACAATAAACATTGTTATGGGAAGAAAAATTTTGGTGCACTTGTGTGGGAGTTTTTTGCAGCAAAATTTTTCAAAATTATTCGAGTTATTGCTTTGTTCTGGGCCATATTGTTTTTCCAGTTATCACCAGAAGACAATTTTAGATACCGACAATCGAAACGTGGGGAAATACCTGTGGTTATTTTCATATTTCATTTTGAATATTACTGGGGTTTCTTTCCCAACACCAAACCGTTATTTCAACACCTCGACACGTGTTTCGATCACCAAGTGATCATCTTCAAGAGGACGACCAAAAGTTTGATCTTCCTCAAGAGGAAGATAAAAAGTTTGATCTTCCTCTTGAAGATGATCACTTTGATGTTGGTAAAAAACTTCAGTAATACATATTCATTACTACACCAAAGGTTTCAAACAGTGCATCACAAGTATATTTTATCTTGATTATTTCACTAATTTTGTTGTAATTTCATTAATTCAATAATTTGAACTTATTTCTTTCACAAACCATAAATATGAATTCAAAAAAACTACCTTGTATTCACCACAGAGTGACTTTTAACTTCGATTGGTACGTTATGAGAATATCCATCAGGTCCAGACTTATCAACAGGACTTCCTCTCCTACTGCCAAACAGACTGAACGTATCATCCAACAGGTCGTGAAATCTCTTCCTCATCTTCGAGACGTTCTGTGCAACAGTCATATCATGCATCCCTTCATCAACACTAACTCCTGAAAATAACCAAGAGGTATGTATTTGATCAATTTTCAATTCCTGCTCTTGAAGTCCAGTTTCAATAGTCAGTCGTTTGTAAAGTGGAAAGTTTTATTTATGAATTGATTTGCCGCCAAATGTTAAAACTATTCACCAGGTAAATATGAATGTATCATGAATTATTGAATGTAATATCGATTTACTGATTAATTGATTGATATCCTTCGTTGATTCATCGAATGCATATTTACAAACTGTTTCAACTGACTGAGTTACTCAACAAAAGAATGATTGAAAATTTCACAGGTCGTTGCCTATTTTTATAAGCAATTAATTTATCGAATATTTTCAGTAACTGTTTACTCAGACAACACTGGATAGATATCTCATAGATGACCAATTCATGTCCAACGGAGACATCTGACTTCAAGTTAATCTTGAGAAAAAAATAAAGTTCTTGATCATTTCAACCCAAGTGACAAGTTTACAGAAGAAATTTACGATGATCAACAGGACACAGAAATTGTAAAAGTAGCATTAAAATAAATAGAATAGAATTAGAAAATACCATTTTTGGCTTTCTACTTGTTCAAAACAAGCATACAAAATTACAAAGCAAAAAGACTATTTCGAAAAATTACGAGTACTAGTTAATATACTTCAGACGCCCATTGGACGTAAAATTCCACTTGGATATTCACTGGAAGTATAAAAATTAACATACCGTGCTGAAGTTTCTGACAATGTGAATTCCAAACTATTGGCCCAATGACTCCTGGATCTTCAACCGCCCCTAAGCTTCCGTGTCTAACCAACCCCAATTTACCGTGTTTTTCCTGGTTGTTCCCTCCGTGCAGTGGTTGGTCGTCTAACATGTCCAAGTGTAGAATGCTTACCGGTTCAAGGACTTTGTTTAGTGGAACAGGCATATTTCCTCTGTTGAAAAAATCACTTCAATTTATTGTATATCAACATTTGTTGAGGAAAAATCGATATGTGGATTTTCAAATGATTTGAGAATCAAGTGATTACAAAAATACAGACCTTGGAAAGGACTTAACTGATGGCATGGATAAGTATGACTTCGGGCTGACAACTCCTGGATCATAGTTTCCAACAAGCATGGCATCTGGTGACTCTTTTCTGCTACTACTTCCATCTGAATCGAACACTTCGGGAGGCATCCGTCTGAAGTTCATGGGAGCCGTTTTATTGAGAGCTGGCCTCGTTCTGGATGGCTTCTTCGGGGGGCTCCGGTGGTGCTTCTTGATGTTCATCAAAGGGGAAATGTCCAAACTACTGGAACTGAAAATGAAAGTGCAACGATATTTTCATCTTGTAGACGATGGCAGATCGCTCTCTTCTAACAAATGCAAATGAGTTGTCTGGGAAGACGGCTAAGTAGATGTAACCCTTTCCAAACATAAAATTTTGCAAGATTTTGGGACATCAAACCAAGTATTATCAATGATGGAGATTGACACTAACTTTGTGGCTCATAGTTTCATTTAGTTTCGTTGAAAAATATTTCATATAAGTGAAGCAATTTTGACCGTCTTCGAAAATTGAGAGAAGATGGATAGAATGTAAAAGAAGTGTTAGGACCGAAATTTTCCGATGAGCTAGATAAAAAACCATCAGTGTTAGATTAGATTAATATGGGGTTTCTGTGCTGAGCTGCCACTATACTGCGACCTTTGCAGATCTATTGTGTGTGCCCTCATGTATGCTAGAGTTCCTTGTCTAGGCCCGTCCTTGTAACTAGACCCCATAGGCCGGACCTCAAGTTCCCCATATATTGAGAGGGTTGTGGTTTTTCCTCCCCTAATGTTGCAAACCTTATCCTTGACAGACATTCGCAATAGCATAGTATGTGTACGGAGGTTTCCTCATCTTCTTGGCAAAGCCTACATAGGGCTGTGTCTGCCAGTCCGATGTTGTTCATGTGTTTGTTGAGTCTACAGTGTCCCGTCAATAGCCCGACCAGAACTGGAGCTAATTGCTTTTATAGCTGCTTGGCTATCAGAGTATATTGCAATAGTATTTTCCTTAAACTCTTGCCTTAGTAACTCTTCTGCGCAGTGACATATTGCTGCTGTTTCTGCCTGGAATATCGTCACTTTTTTACCTAAGCTTAGTGAGACTTTTGTCTTTGGTTTAGTTATATAGATTCCTGCTCCTACACCTTCTGTGTAACAGGCAATCTCTGCATTTATTGGAGGTCCTCCCTTCCATGCCTCTCTGTCTGTTATAATTGTTTAGAAGTTTTCCGAAGCTATACTGGGAAAGCATCTCATCCTATGGCATTCCCATTATGGGGTCGTTTTCCAACTCTTTGTTTAGCTCGTTGTACCTCTTATAGGCATTTGCCCTCCGGTCAGTCCTCATCAGTGTTACTAGACCGAATCACGAATACATTCTTGGAGTCAGTCGTCCTTCAAGAACAAGGCTCTCAGAAGCGATCCGTTGCAAAACTAATCTTTGATAGCGTCTCTGAACAAGAATCGTCTCTTGTCTTCGTTCGTGATTCAACATTAGACAGAGCAGATTAATCTTCTTCATCAATTTCTCATCGATTCGATTTTGTATAAAAGTTGCTCATACCGTTAATTTTTTCATTAACCTTGATTGCACCTTCTGGCAAGAGATACATGACCGTACACACAAATCTGCAAATGCAATGCGAATTGCACTATCAACAATATTCCAGATAGCACACAGTTCACCAATTTCATGATATATTTGTTTCTCAGAAAAAAATCATTAATATCCACAGTTTACAGAGTCTTTGTAGTTTCGCAGCTCATCCCGAGTATGATGTCAACCTGAGATATATTTTACAGATAATATCCGATGAATATACCAATTATATCATACTTTATTTTTGTAGACCGTCCCACAGCAAACTGGATCAAAAGAGACGCGAAACTAATACATTTCTATGACATTAAAAACAAATTTTGAAACAAATAAATATTTGAGGATAACCTAGTTATATAATGAAAACTACCAGACGTTCTGAAAACCACTGAACCACTGAAAACCAGTGGATTTCATGTGTAAGAATAATATGAATCCAGACATGATCTTGTAAGATTCGTAAGTTTGCAAATATGATTCCTAATAGTCCATATTGTCATTTGTGGGACACCTTCGGAAGTGCTAGGACGTCAGAAAATTACAACATTTTCCATTTGAACACCCACCCACATCCTTTGAACGATTTTACGTTGTCCCTCAGTGGTCCCAAAATAGCCATCGTGCTATTGTTTCAAAAACGATAAGTATGAAATATCGTCGCTGAAAGCAGCGACCCTAAAACTCACTTTTTCTGTGCTTGTTTTTTATATTCATAGACCCCACATGCCATTCCGTGACTCTGTATAAGCGAAGTACTTTACTTTCAGTTGAAACATTAAATGTGGCAAGTGAATTCTTGAATATTTTCCTGATGGAACGTTATTTTTCATGTAGGATAATCAATAGTCGATTACTGACAACTCTAATGTCACACACTGACCTGGAGGACATTGAACTGATGGAACTTCCCGGCCTGGCAACAACAGCAACGCTTCTTGTCATCGTCGTATTTTCATTTTTGAAGTCGATATACGTGGGAGACCTTCTTCTGGTGTCTTCTTCAGTGTATCCCTTGTTCTCGTGGCCAGCTCCTCTCTCGAAAATATGTTGTCTGTTTTCGATTCCTATAGACAAGATATTCACATGAATGTAGTAAAGTGAAAGAAAGACAAAAGCGAATAAATCGTAAGATATACTCCAACAAGACGGATAAAATATATCTCACCTTGTGAACTTGTTGGAGTTGAAACTTTCTTTTTCTTCGTACATCCAAGGATGAAAAAGGCAACCACTAACAGAAAAACAATGAAGCCTACGATGGACACACCGATGAACATCCAAGTGCTCTTGGCGCTAGACAAACCTTGGGGCTCACCGGATTTGAGATATGCTGAAGAAAATGTATAACAATGTGAAAAATAACAATCATCTCAGTTCGATTTTGATCTACTTATTAAATTGTCACAAACGATGATACATCGTTTCCCAAATTTTTCAACAAATGTTCTAAGAATAACTTTTAATACTGATGTACTACTTATATTCATAATTTTTGTATGTGTTGTTGGAAAAACTGCATTATTAATATAGAAAATTGGACTAGTCCAATATTATATCATTGCAGTTTATCAATTAAATGAGAGCAAAGTTGATTGTGGCTGGTCATTGAGAATCGAAGAGACATGTGATATAGTATTTGAACAAAATTCTTAATATTTTCGTGAAAAGCTAATGGATTTGATCCTCTTTCACACCAAAATAAGAAAATTATCACTCACGTTCTGCCTTCACAAGGAACGGATAGCCAAGCTCTTGTCTAACTTCTTCATCTGATACAAGATGCATATCGTTGGCTGCTGTTATTGCAGATACCGGTTTTCCTGCAACAGATACGTGGTACAACACCTCGATTTTTTTGTCGCCGTTCAATTTGGTCCTGTTCATTTCATGAATGTAGACATTTACTGGACCATCTATTGGTGCTCGCTTGATTCTACCATTGGTTATGCCCAAGTGTCGCTCTTGTTGTCTGCAATGAGCAGAAGTTATTTCGAAGGTTCAATATTCAATATTTCAGTAAAAACATATAGGAAATATATTCATTCTTCTATTATGTATGTTTCTCTTTATTATTTTTTAAACCAGGTTGAATTGGTAAAAACGATATTATCCATTAGTTACTATGATATTTCTTTTACATGTTCAAAAATGAATGTCTATAATAAACTTCTGAATAAAAAGAATATGTTGATGCAACTGAGGCAAGTACGACCCTTTTTACTCAGCAAACAGTATTTGTATTCAACCAACATGATTCTAGATAAAACTAGAAAAAGTTATACATTACTAAAATGAATGGTGGATGACAAGGAAATTCATTTAGATGCAATAATAGTTGCCATCAAGACAAGAAATTCTTGTCTCTTATTTCGTGTCGAATTGAACAAGAAGAGAGTTTTTTCCTGGGAAATCGTATCTTGACAAGACAAGAGATTGGTTCATCTTAAAAGGCGAAACAAAACAAGATAGCCATCTGTCGGCAAGAAAAGACAACCTATCGAATGTAGTATGCTCATAAGCTGAATTATTTTCAGGAATATACCGAATTGGCTTTTGGCTAGAGATTGTAAGCGGGGCAAGGTGCAAGGCCTCTGAAGTATAAACGATATTACTTTAATTGTTTTCTAGTATCTATTTGCACATTTGGAATACCAATATCAAGAGAAATCTAGCAAAGCCGAGATGAGACAAAAACAAGATATGCATTTTCTCGTAAAGGGAAATGGCATTCTTGTTAAGACGGGAGAAGAATTTTTTCTCGACCAGTCGAGACAAGATAAGAGAAGACATTTTCTTGTTTTGTCTTGTCTTGTGAAGCAACACTAAGCAATAACAAGTTTGTTGAAAAGCGGCCTAATGAAGTAATGACAACAGATAACTCAAATTATGCAAGTAATATAATATCTTTTCGGAAAGGATTGACAGTATTAGTGAGAAAATTAAGTGAAACTGATTTTGTTTTACAAGCATTGCGACTACAACATTCAACTAGCATTCCTTTTGTTGTAAAATAACCAAATCATCAACATCAGAAAAATATTCACTGCAGAATTTTCATTCAGAGCAACGTATAATAATATGTTAGATCAGAGGTTCCCAACCGGTGGTGCAAAGGAACGTGTCAGGTGGTACGCGTGATTGATGTGAGTAACATGCTTTAATAGCAAACATGACTCAGCTCACGGGTCGCTACAAAAACGAAATACCCATAACCCAGTGAACGACCTGACATATTTGTTTTTCTATTATATTGAAATATATAATTCCTAGGTGATGAAACAATAAAACACTTTAGTAATTTCACCTAGGAATCCCCAGATAGTAGAATTGGTAAACAAAGGGTTTTTCATTTCGTATAAGAAAACTGAACTATGAAACGATTTCTGACGTCCTCTTCTACATCAAAGGATTGTGCTAAAAAACCTAAAGTACCGGTCAATCGTAAATACGATGAAAGCTACTCACAGTACGGTTTTATAGTGAAGCCAGGGACTGAAACCTGATTGTCTAACAGTTAGACAATCTTCACAAGGCTACTAACTCACCTTTGAAATGCAATTTTATACAGTTTCGCTAAGCTATTCTTGAGATCGATAATCACAGGATCTTTTCCATCACTTTTCAACACAGTCAGTAACCAAAATTGTCTGTCAGTATCAAATTCTTCAGGGATATAAAATACGATACTAAAAGAAACTGAATCACCTCAATATTGCATTGAATATCTATGTATTACTTATAAGTTCATATTCATATACAATGAAATATCCTTCTTTTTTTTCTACTTCGTAAGACAGTGACATAGGTTGCTAGGGATTTTGAGTTAAATCAATTCCGCTGCTTTTGTATTCTGTGCCTAGCACCACCGGTATGCCTAGATGGTGGAAGTTCACGAATTTCTTTGTAGGGTTTGGTTTTAACAAATTTCTAAACATGAATTCAACTTGTAATATCTATGTGGGATGGTGAGAAAGATAATAATGATTTCATAGGGAAAGATTGACGAAATAAATGGTTCCAGGTAATGAAATTATGAAGAAACTAGTAATAATAAAAATAATTAGTTCATTAAATTGAATATAGGAAATATTTACAATATTCATACATATCGATATATAGCAATACACTAAAAGAACTTTAGATAGTGGCATTAGCAATGAATGTAATGGTCCTAATTAACTCTACTACATTTGACACTCATGCCATGTTGATATTTATATATGTACCAAAGAATCTAGAATAAGCTAATATTACAAGTTATATGATGGCAAAGTATTGGTGACATTTTTGAGTCATAAAAATGTTGGGCTAACAAACAGGAAAATCTAGTTTTTTCTATTCAACTCTCGCGAGAAAAGATGCATGTGTGTTCAATGTACAATTTGATAGCTGAACAACACTTGATGTACATCAGAATTGTTCACAAAACTATCTCTATTCCTGAAAATATATAGACACAATTCAAAAATATATAAGTATGGAATTGTTAGGAATTCATATTTGCTGAAAAAACTTTTACAGTTACTACACCTTCATGCTGCACCTGATACTTTTTTGTGAAGTGGAAACTTCCAGAGACGTGGTTGACCATCCCCAGAAACAAAAACCATAACGCATACGACTCTCCACTTACCCATAATATACCATCAGCAATTGAAAAAGTGTAAGTAGGTATCGTTCTCAAATTTTTCGGAAGAAAGCACTGCGAATGGGGCGCTGATATCAAATTCGAACAATGTACTCTCCAATTTACTTTCCAATGCACATTCCTAAAATCTTGATCTGGTGGCAGATTTGGAAACTGGAATATCATTTACAGTGGGATCGGGTTTTGTACATATTTTTTGTTGTGAAACCGAAGATATTGTGGCTTATCCACAATATGTCCACATTGCCAAAAATCCGATTAGCTAATTTCAACGTGTCCCAAGCATTTCATCAGAATGATATGACACATAATAGGAGTTATCATATGCATACATTGTAACATGAACGTTTTCACATAGTTTTTCAATATTAGTAATATATAGCAGAAAAAACAAAGCAACCCAAATAGAACCCTGTGGAACACCTATGTTGATATCAGCTACTGAGTAGTATCACCACCTGAGTAGTATCACCACCTTCAAGGACTGAATCGAGAATATTTTTATAAAAAATCTCTTAAAATTTTGTTTTTACTATTTACTTCTCTGCTCAAACTATTCATTAGCTTTCTGCTATTAACATGTGATTTTGAGACGGAGCAAAAAATCAGTGTTGTGTAACACCCAAATATTGTAAACAACGACCTAGTTCGTTGAGTTTGTACACCATCGGGCATTGTTTTGTCTAGGAAAGCAAATGCTTTCATAATGTGAACACGAATTCATTAATAATTCAGGCCTGGCTTTGTTACCGGAATATCAATTTATCACATGAGTTCTAAAAATGAGTGATTGCTATTGCTATATGTTTTTGTGAACGTTATAGTTTCGTTTATACAGAGTAATTGTAAAAATACATTCAGCTTAGATTATGAGTAATTGTTAAAGTTCAACTCCGGAATCGTCATTACTGTTAACTTCAACCAATGTCAGTTGTTGGTTAGTTAGTTTTTTTAACTAAATAAGATCTTCCCACCGAAAGTAGTAGGCTGCGAATTGTAATCGATATATTCAAATTGGAATTATAGCTCAAAAATTCTGAAAATGTTCCCAAGCCGACGCTGTTAGACATTTTCAATCGCGTGTTGTAACTATTTCAATAGCAAACTTTTACTCATTGGTGTCATGTTCTTCGTTATTCTCGTTTGATTTCCAACTACGCAAGGTCGACAGAGAATCAACATACCTTCAAGCACCCACTTCATAAAAAAATCACTAATCAAAATGAAATGATGCATTGAAATTTAATAACATTTTTTTCTAGTTATCATCTAAGATTTGCAACCTAATATGTCTCAATGACACTCGAGTAAATCCCCATTTTGCATCGTGGTCTCCTGATACTTTCCAGAAAGCTCAGTTTCAACCTTTCTTCCGGAAATAAAGAGTTTTAAGTTCATGATTGAATGAAAGTCCCTCTGTAGAGTGGTATGTAGTACACGTTGAATTCACTTATTCGTTCTGGAAAATGATTCTATGTTCCTTTTTACGTATTTCAAATATTTTTCCAGTTTGACCTATTCAAAACATCGGACGAACCACACAACAGTTTATAAACTCCTGACCTATCTGACACCAAACTCTTTTCTCTTTTCTTTATTATTTTCATAGTTATTATTATGTTCATACGCTACGGTTCCACCTTTAATGTTTAAGAAATCTGAAATATCTATACTAGGTTGATCGAAATAATTTAATGTTATATTATCATGAATATAATTGTTAATTCTAAATGAATAATTGGTTTTCTTGTTCGTATGTTCGTATTGACTTGGCTCTGCTTTTATGGTCTAAGAAGTAAAATGGGTATTTTGTGAATTCTTTTTTCTTGTTCATGTTCCCTATTTATTCAATCAAAAGCCTTTCTCTTCCCGGCTCTTTCATACTTCTATGCCCCTTCTAAATCCAAAATTTCATCCTTTTGAAACTGTTTCGTCTCTGAGAATGTGACCAAGATGTTACTGGAATAAAGTTCCAGGATAAATGATGGCGATATTAACTCTTCTTACAAAGACATCATCTGTGAAAGCTCAAAACAGGAGACTTTCTCACATAAATCACCCATCTTTGGAACAGTGCAATCGAGAAACACGAAGAGTCTCGGATTGTGGTGCTTCATATTTCCAAAGCCGGGTTTGCTATGAGGATCATGCTAAACAACGGTCAAAGGTCTTGGAAAAGTTAAGCGCAACAGCTCGCCTTCTTTCTCGAATTCATTGTTTCAACAATGAGTGATTTTTGCCTTTGCCTATTGATCTTTGCTTCCGGAAACTCAAGATATTGAAGCATTCAAGATTATTCTCCATAGGAACAGGCGAGTTCGAACGTTGCATCCTTCACCTTCAACCTGATCAGTACCGCCGATAAGACTTAGGAGCAATAGCTGTCTAGGATCTAGGATTTTGAATGCTAGAATGCAAAGCTATCGGACCCTATTGGTATCATCTTTCTGCGAGGACCAAGACAAGCGGATGACTAGCAATCTTCAAAAAGAGTCAAGTAGCGACCAGAATCGAAGAACCAACAATGGTATCTGGGTTTTGGATCACAGACAGATACCTGTATAGATTTTTAGTCCTGTCCTCTGCAGTGACTGGGTTCAGCGGCTTATACAAGTCATCCTAACTTTTCTTCAAATTCTCTCAGGAAATCAATCAGCTCATGATGTTGAATCATAAACCATCTTTAAAGTTACTTTTTTGCCATAATGTTCCCGTTAAATCATCAACTCAAGTCGTGCGGCTATGAGATTATAGTTTGGAGTACTTATACAAGCTTCACGAAGCAGTGAATAAATAAACAAAAGAACCACCTGTTCCGTAAGAATGCTTCGCCAATTGCTTGACGTCCACCGTGGAAAAATCCAGCTCGTCCTGCTGAGTCAGGGCACCGCACCGTACCGCCCTCCATTCCCACACCACCACCCCGGCCCACAACACTAGCGCGCGCCACGGCATCCCTACGAAGGAGTCCCGAAAAAGGACAACGAGCCCTTCTTCGGAGAGGGACCCGCTGATGTAGCTGTCACATGAAAACTGTCTCTTCCCATGATTCCGGTGATTACGGTGGCTTTTCCGCGATTGATCAAACGCGATCCGAGTGCGCAAGCGCGGTTGCTATTGTCAATGGGACAATGACAACAATGATGGGCGATGATGTGGGTGTGGGGGCGATGATGGTCTGCGGTGAGGCAGAAGTAACTGTACTTGGAACGGTTTTGATGGTGACCGTGAAAAGTTTCGCTCTCATTTGAGCATGTACAAGGTGTTCAGTTGCAAGTGAACCACCCTGTACGTTTTGAATGCCTAAAAAATAAGAAAAATCTGTGAGATTTTGACGGGAGTTCATTTATTAGACAATGGATCGCCATAAATCAATAAAAATTTAAGGGAAATATAAATACGGACTCTATATTTCTGGTGAATTATTGATATTGTGAACTCAAGACGTCCTTATTGAAATTTCAGATGCCTCTGTTTTATATTATACAGAGAATTTTTATTATGATTTTTTTTTTTTCAAAAAACCCAAAAATTCAATTTTTAGTATTGTGCTTGCTATTCAGTGGTCAGTGCCTAATGGCGTTAGACAAAACACAACACACTAACACAAGCCGTTGGTTCTTCAGCAAAAATAGCGACAAAAAAGCAAACATACTTGAACAAACGGCGTCCCATTCCACAGTTGGCTTCGGAAAAAATATCACACACTCCACTAGTCAATCCACATGCAAAGATCACTTCAAGATGAATGAATACTGGCTCAAAATGTATGATCCTAATGAAGCATTGGAGATGGTACTTTGGAAATGTGCCAGGAACTTGCATCAGTTTTATTGATATGTCTTAAAAAAAGAGTTTTCTTTCTTGTAGGAAGACCACTAGTGTTCAGCCTATGTTCAGAAATACCTACAACAAAAATCTGCCAAATAACTATAAACCAGTTGCAGTGTTATCGAAAATCTTGTAGAAATGTATCTGGAAAAATGTTTAGAGATATCACCAAATTA